AATCATTAAACTGCTTCAATCAAGCATGTCTGTCTCCTGCGCACAGTGTAATTTGCAGCTCCGTTCGCATGCAGCGTGGTTATTTGTCATTGTTTTCCGGTAGCACATTTCCCAAATGCTTACAATCAGCCTTTAGTACTCTAAATTGCCGCTCTGTTACTAATGGGGATGTGGACAGATGTGGATTAGCACTATAGTACAGCATGTGTGTTTGCGGAGCTAAATTAATGACTAAATACAGAGCAGAAGAAAGCATATGCTTCATGCAACACAGTACGATGAGCAAAATTAATTAGGAAAACCGCTGCTCTCTCTTTCACAAAAACCTAAGACAATGACTTTCGCTTACAATAAAGCCAGAGAAAAACCGTATAGATGTCAGGGATTTTGTCCGGATGTTTTCTGATTCACAGCGCACTAAGAATTATTCTCTTGTTGCAGGCTCACACAACACAATATCTGACAAAAAAAATCTAATGAAAAGCCAGTGTAGTATATTTCTCCTGCACTATTACTCTCCCCCACCAAATGACCTTTCATGCTTTGTAGTCCAGGGTAGTGAGGTCGGCTCCTTATATAATCAATATTCTATTATGATAGTGTGTTAAGCGTGTGGAGGTTTACAACTTCACTGTAATAGTGTCCTTATATCATCTCCTGGCAGTCTGCATTGTTGTGTTTGTGCAGAGACTGAAGTGATGGAACCCGTCTTAACTGTTTGCTAAAGAAGACACCTTGCCACCTTGCTAATGTGACCTGACATTCTGCAATAACACAGAGTGATCTTCTTTATTTGCGTAGGTCAAATGTACAACTGCATTTTTATACCTTTTTCTGTACAGATGTGATAGAGAGCAGCACGTTGACGGCATTTCAAATGGATATAGTCATCAGTCATATATTTGTACCTAAATGTATAGCACAAGTCTTTCTGCGCATACTGTAGGTCAGGGAGTTCAGTAGTCAAATGTAAAAATAGTTATGTTTGGGAGATCAGGATGTCTGCTGGATCTAAAAATGTCTTAAAACTTAAATACAGAATGTTAGGCCTTAAAAAGTCTTACATTTGCTGAAATATTGTGTTGTAGGTCTTACATCTTTTTTGAACAGGTCTTCATTTTTACTTTGTTCATGTTTAGCTACCCAATCTGTCCAACTCCCATCCAATCATCAACAATCATCTCAAAAAATCTTAACTTTTTATTTTAAAATGTTATTTTAACTATATTTACCATAATGGTTTGATTATTTTCCCTATAATAACATTGGTTTAAAAGTGCTCAGTGTATTTACTGCTGACCTGGTCAGTATGTTCTGCATACATTTAGTTTATTATAGTTTTCAAAACTTTTAAAGCATCTCCATTGTTTTTATTTTAAAGTGTATGTTTAAAGCTAGAGCTTGCTTGTTTTGACTCAGTATTTAAAATATTTTGCTAAGAAATATTATATATATATATATATATATATATATATATATATATATATATATATATATATATATATATATATAT